CTTCCTTCCTTCCTTCCTTCCTTCCTTCCTTCCTTCCTTCCTTCCTTTCAAGAAGAGTAGATGAGACTTGTCAGGAGGAAAAGTTGAATCATTTGCACATTATGCTTTTTCCCTTCCAGGTGGAAATTGTAAATGTGCATGCATGTTTACTTATACATATAGATGCATCAGAAAATTGCTCTTCACTTTTTTGTGGTCAACATAAAAAATAATCGTTATTTTTAAAGCTAAGAAATTTGAGTCATCTGATGGAGGAATTTTGCTGGAAAGGTGAAAAGCAATTTAGTCATAGGTATTTATACATATATCAGAATATTAAGGAAGATAGATAGATAGATAGATAGATAGAGGAAATAACATGTTACTGTCTTTGGATCTTCTTTTGGTGGGGGGAGATATACAAAATGTCTTCCTAAGGGAAGTTGTTCTTTTTTAAAATCGTTTTGTTTTATTTTTTTCATCATAAGTTTACTCCTTTTTTTAAGTAACTCTACAGCCAACGTGGGACTCCAACTCATGACCCCCAAGCTCAGGAGTCACAGAATCTACCCACTGAGCCAGCCAGGAGCCCCAGCAAGTGTACTCCTTAATCCCTATCACCTGTTTAACCTATCCCCCCGCCCCCCACCCCTCTGGTAACCATCAGTTTGTTCTTTATAGTTAAGAGTCTGTATCTTGGCTTGCCTCTCTCTGTCTCTCTGTCTCTGTCTCTCTCTGTGTGTCTCTTTTTTTTCTTCTTTGCTTGTTTGTTTTGTTTCTTAAATTCCACATATGAGTGAGGTCATATGGTATTTGTCTTTCTCTGACTGACTTATTTTGCTTAGGTAGCAAAACCAGGTATTCTGAAAGATCTGAGTATCAGTACATGTTCATGGCTGCTACAAACCCAAACCATATATTTTTCAGTACGAGGGAGAGTATGTGCTTACTTGGAGGTGTAATTTGACATTATCTGGGCTGATTTCCTTTGGCTTCTCTTTATTTGACTTTAATTTTATTGCTTTAAGTTTCTCAGCTTCCGTTTCATCCTACTTTTTCATATGTCAGGTGTACAATGTGAATGATAATGTTCATGTATAATTTTATTTAAATTGATACAAAAATAAAATACTGTTTGTCAGGATGTGATGGTATAAAATTTTCTGAAAGATGTGGGATTTTAAAAACTCAAGAGTCTTTCATGTTATTCCTTTAGTCTGGCGGCAAGAAGAACTTGCACGCATTAACCAATCTTTCACTGGGGCTGAAAGGAAAGCTGCTTTGTGTGAACTTCTGGAAAAAGAGACCCAGATAATTGCTTCCATTGGGAGGCATAGATACATTGCATATACGGCAAACCAGGAAGCACTGATACAAGCTTTTTTGGATAAGGTTAGTAAAGTAACAATTATTTAAATAAGAATGAATCCTGAGTTTAAAAATGTAGAATAATGAACTAAAGAAGAGACTGACATTGTACGAATTTTCATGTTTAAATTTTCTGGTTTTTTTTTCTTTTTTCTGATACAGCTTTAGATTTTTAACTGTGGCCTAGAATAACAATTGACAATTAACATGAAATTAATATGTTCTTAACTAAAAAGTTTAGGCCATGAAGGAAAAAATAAAGCTACCTTCCTCGTGACTCTGTTCATTTAGATTTAGGCTGGCTACAGAAGTTAGATCAATTACACACCCTGATGAAATGTAGAGTTACTGAAGTCACAAAATGTCTGGGTTTGGGATGCCTCATAGTAAGCAACCTGGGGAAAAGAGCTATAGATGAGTGTTTTTGCTTTTGCTCACCAGGTCATTAACTGACTGGAAGTTTCTGACCAAAAATGTATATGATTGTTGAAAACCATGAAAACATACAATTAAGGGAAAAACGAATTATCTTTTTGTGTTGAAACTGCCTGTTCTGTTTGATATTGATTGCATAGCCTGTTTCCATAGTGACCAGTCTCCTTTTGTAAATCTGATCTTTCCAAACAATTAAAAGCCAATCCAGCCACAAGAAGAAAGGGGATATAGCGTTCTTCTAGATCTTTGCCTATAGTGATTCTAGTTGTATGATTCTTGTTACTTGAGAACATTCGTTTTTAAATACCATATTTTTTTGATACTCTAAATGCCCTCCTCTCATTTTACTAATACACTCCCCTTTGATCTCAATTTTTCTTGTGGCTTTAACTACTACCTACATCCTGGAACTCCCTGCAGGTCCAGACCAGACCTCTCTAAGGAGCTTTGGAATCATGTATCCAAATGTATTACAACTTGCCTATTGTAATTGCTTTTGGGTGTTCCAACAGTACACCTTAAGTTGACATGTCAACACTGAAATTATACCATCTCACCGTTCCCTGGTCCCGCATCTCCAAACAGATGCTGTTCTGTAGCACTCACATCATTATTCTTTATGAATGTTTCATCATCTGCTCAGTTGCTGAAGACACCTGGGCATTATCCTTGGCATCCCATCCAGCCACCAACCGGTTTGTTCTGCTACTTTAATAATTGTCTCAATTCTTTACTTCCTTTTCAAACCCACTACTACTGTCTACAGGGAAATGGCTCTGCCATGGCACCCTGATGCCCTTGCATGAATCCAAACACGCCAGGTAGGCAAAGACTTGAACCACAGCGAATCTGAATCTTGGTGGAATGTCTTGTGATCCTGCTGGAAATTGAAAGGATGGGAGGCTTCTGAAGAGACGCTATGGAGCAGCTCCTCTCTTTGCTTTCCTATGTCCCCTGGGAAGCTGTCATGAGCCAGGCCTTGTCTTGTGTGTGTGTGAGATTGACAGTGACTTATCTGATTGTGGATTTCCTTCTCATTTGGACTACTTCATGTCTCCAAATTAGGCTCTCAGCCTCCAGTCTCACTTCATAGTTCCCTCCTCTGTCATCCATACCACGGCCATAGTGACCTCACTAAACACATCTCTGCCCCTGCCCCTCCTTACTGCCCCTCAGGGATTTTCACAGCTGATACTCAGCACACCTCACCTGCTGGTATCTCACTGTCATCTCTCCTTGCAAACTACAGCCATACCGCCCCAGCTATGTTCGGTTACTTGCACGTCCTCAGAAAGGTCACGTGCTCTGCATACTTGTGCATCCAGTGTTGTCTCTACATGGAGCATCCTTTACCTCCTTCATTAGTAGCTAGTTATACATCCTTCAAAACAAGCTCAGATACCCCTTCTTCAGAAAGGACCTACTGATCCTCCTGCTTTAGCCCGTACTATATGCTTTCATGAGACCCTGTTTCACTTCTTAGTAAATAGTGGTCAATTTTTAAAATTTTTTTAAAGTAAACTTATTTATTTTGAGAGAGCATGCAAGCAGGGGAGGGGCAGAGAGAAAGGGAGAGCGAAAATCCCAAGGAGGCTCCATGCTGCCAATGCAGAGCCTGACTTGGGGCTTGATCCCACAAATCGTGAGATCAAGAGTCAGAAGCTTAACAGACTGAGACACAGGTGCCCCCGTAGTGGTCAGTTTTTATTGTATCTGTATACATGTCTGAATCATTCCTGGATACTGAGCTTCTTAAGCAAAAGCTATCTTTTATCTCTGTATCTTCATGTTCTAGCATAGTGCATATCACAGAGTATTAATACATGCTTATGGAGGAAGGCAGGAAGGAAAAATAAGGGACAGAAATAATGGTTGTGTAATCTCATATTTCAAGTATTGTCAAGAAATTATACAATGTAGATACTGTCACTTCAAATTGTTGAGTATCTTCCTTCTAGGAAAGATATGTCTCCCGTATGGAAGCATAATATTCATACTTCTCCAGGATCATATTTCAAACTAAACTTATTCCTTTAGCAAGTTACTTTATCTTGAATCCAGCTTCATCACTGGGAACCATATTCCTTATGTGTCTGATTGTTAACCTTACCATTGGGGACAGCATAGACCCAGGGCAACAGGGACCCAGAGTGTTTGAAGGAGCTGGGAGCCTCTGAGGTACAAGGGACAAGGAAGATGCATGGCATCTACCCTTCCTTATTTGAGGCTGGCGCTTCCACAGGAATTCCTACTTATGCTTTCTCTGATGCTTTGTTTCCTATGAACTATTTAAAATTCTTACTGTAAATACTTATACAGTGTCTATTCTTATTATGCCTTTATGCACCACCCACCCCTCTCCTCACCCCCTCCAGGCCTCTGCCTAACATTGTATCTAAGCTTTTTTTTTTTTGAATTATAAAGCGTGTGAATGTAAGGTCCCAGCATTTCATATTGACTCTGGAGCCACTTAATGACCATTGTTTTCTTATGAAGTCTATGTAGCACTCTATGAAGGTCTTGAAATCTCGCCAAAAAAAGATGAGATAGAGAAATTTTGTTCATAGGATTTTTCACGAGGAAGAAAAATGTGGTCTTTGTTTTTGTTTTTTGTAAAAACTGTTAAGTTGTAGTAGAAAGTGCGACCCTGAAAGATCCCGAGTGTAGGAAGAATTGCCAGGAAAATGGAAATCTTTGACTGTTGCCAGGAGAGAAAAAGAGAAAGCATAGTGAGGAGACAGCTGGGCACAATATGGTTCCTCGTGACTTTTTAGTTATATTATAAAATAAATGAAACATTAAGTGCAAGATAATTGTTTTGGTAAGAGGAGTGAGAATGAGAGAAATGATTGGGCCTTAGTGTCCATACTGATTTAGGGCAGCACACAAAGAGGCAAGACCAGAAGACTGAAGGAACGATGGAAAAAATAGCTATAAGAACTTGTAGAAATCAAGGGAAAGGCTTTTTGTGGATCATAGGTTTTAGAATTTGAGTTCTAAATCTACGGTTACATCAGCTGATGAACCAATTAATCTCACCCGTTCATAGGCTAAGATTTAGAGGAAATGGACATTTTAGCTGATACAAGGGAATTTTACCTCAGTTTTGACCAAAATGTTGTAGAGAGCAAGAAAAACACAACCAGAATGGAACTGCTACACTTGAAGTCAATCCTAGTCCATTACATAGACTAATTAGTCCAGTCTTTAAAAATATTAACTAACAGTGACTTTGACATACTTTTAATCTGTTATGGTAAATTATAAAATATTTGTTATTCTAATGCAAATTCATTCAAATCTCCTTTTTGTATAGGATGCCATACTAAACATCATGGAAAGCAATTAAGATAGATTTTATAGTTTTCCTTGTAAATTCTTATACAATATCCATTCCTCTTTATGCCTGTCTACTTTGCCCCTCACACATGCCGAGCATTGTCTCTAATATTCAGGGGACACAGTGCTGATTTCAAAAAAGTTGGAGTAACTTATTATCCTACAGTATTTTTGATAACTAAGAAAAAATAGCTTATAATGAATCCCTGAAGCTAGACAAGGTCAGAGTTTTTTTCAAATGTCAAAACTAACAACGAGAGCCATAATGCTGATTTTCAGGTCCACGTTTAGCACTATAACACATAGATATATAAAAAAATATTTACTTTACTATAATTTGGAAATAACTTTCAACAATAGAATTTTATGTTTGGTTTTAGTTTAACTTCACTGTATCTAAGTATTATGTGGTTTATTGAACTAATATTTTTAATCTTCTTATCATGGACATAGACATTAAACCAATCAGGTATTATGGATTCTATACTAAGCCTTCATTCTCCATAAAAGGCTTAATCTAAAGATTTTTGAAGTATTAGTTAAATAATTTGTAATTTTAACACCTCAAACATTGACCTCCACAGGTTATCAGAGGTTAAAAACTCACAAGCTGACAGAGGTGAAAAAAAGCAAGTCAAGAAATTCGAGTGAAAAACCATCCGTCAGTTTCTGATGTATCTGGGGTTCTCTTTACCCAAACTGTGTTAAAGAGACAATTTGAATTTCTAATCTGCAAGAGGTTTTCCCTAGAGTCAAGGCCGTTCCTTTCTTTGATTCGCATACCACTTCTCACAATCACAAGCTACAAAACTGCAATCCTTGTTAGCTGTGTCATTTAAATGTTTTTCTTTTTCTCCCCCATACTCTGGTGGCCAACAGCTAATGGGATAGGAAAATACAACCGATTTTTGCCTCTCTCTGAGCACCACTGTGCACAGGGGTGTCCTCTGTGTATGAACAAAACCCCTTTGCTGTGTAAAAGGAAAGTTGATCACTACACAGTAGCTTTTGGGGGTTAGGGTTATTCTTAATTTGTGCCCTTGGGGACCCGAATATTAATTTAGAAGGAAGAAAGCCCTCCTCTCACAGTACAGTCATTTCTTCTCTTTTGTGGGAGCCTGCTGCTCTCAAGGTTTTTGTTATCTCTCCACCTTCCCTTCCTTGAAATGCCTCTTCCTGCTGTTCTTCTGTTTCTCTCCTCCAGAGTCTTCCCTGTCTCATTTGTTGGCAGCTTAATGGAATTTATTACGCTCCTATTTTCTGAAGCAGTTTAAGAGCATGATTGTTGTACGTCTCTTATTATAGCCAAAGCATTCAAAGGAAAAAGGAAATAAGAAAGAGAAATAAGCAAAGATGATGCATTTTCCTGTGTCAGGGTAAAAAAATACCTTAAGGGCTGAAATCAAAGAAGCTTAGACTTGAATGAAGACCAGGTTGTCAGTGTTGGCAGAAATATATCCCAGTGTAAAAACAGCTTCGTCAATAGATTTTTTTTTTTTTATATATCTTTTAGTACTAACTAGGGAAACTCGAACTTCAAATCTAGGATTCTTTGATTGTGAAGAATCAGTTCCCTTTACTCTGGCTAATTCGTGGTTATTCTTCAGGTTTCACCTTAGATAATATTTTCTTTTCATTAAGTAATTGCTTCATAGCAACCTATGGTTAGTTACCTATTTACCTGTAATCATGAAGCAGAATTATCCTGTATTTTAATTACTTGTTTTCCTATCTTTACATATTATGAGATTTGAGAGTTCTTAAAATCAGTATTGTTTACTCTGTACCTAATACATTAATATATAGTAAACACAATATTTGTGGAATGAATGAATGAGTACTGTAGGTCATATCAGATATATAGAAACACATGAGAATTTATTTCTTATAATCTTTTGGGAGAAATAAAATTAACAAAAAAATAATTATAGAACAGTTTAAATTTAATTTCCCTGAGTTATTGAAATAGAGACACGGTATATTTGTGTGTGTGTGTGCGTGCACGCATGTGTTTGTGTGTGTGTTTATGAGTACAATAGGACTTCAGATACTAGTGATTTCATTGGTTCAAAACATATTAGGAATTTTTATGGAAAAGGTAGAGTTTGAGTGAAAAATTGCAGGGTGGGAAGGTGTTGGATGGATGGGTGGATGTTGAATGTATTTGGAAAAAAATCTAAGATATTACCAAATCGTACTATATTAGATGGGGCTAAAAACTTGGAGGGGAAGTGGAGTTAAATCAATCTATCAACTGAAATACAATGAAGTAGATGAACTACATATTTCATTAAAAGGTAATTATTGGGGCGTCTGGATGGCTCAGTCAGTTGAGTGTCTGACTTCGGCTCAGGTCATGATCTCATCGCGTTGGGCTCTGTGCTGACAGCTCAGAGCCTGGAGCCTGCTTTGGATTCTGTGTCTCCCTCCCTCTCTGCCCCTCCCCTGCTCACACTCTGTCTCTTTCTCTCTCAAAAATAAATAAACGTGAAAAAAAAATTTTTTAAGGTAATTATTACAAGTGAAATAAAAGGATTATACAAGTGAAATAAACCTGCAGAGCAAAAGGTATTGCCCACATTACTAGAAGAAAGGAAATTGCATTTAATAGAGTCATCCTGAAGAAAATGGCATGGCAAGATTAAGACATTAGTTAGACTTTAAAATATCACAATATGAGGGGCACCTGGGTGGCCCAATCAGGTAAACATTTGACTTTGGCTCAGGTCATGATTTTACAGTTCCTGAGTTTGAGCCCTGCATTGGGCTGTGTGCTGACAGCTCAGAGCCTGGAGCCTGCTTTGAATTCTGTGTCTCCTCTTTCTCTGCTCCTCCCCTGCTAGTACTCTGTCTCTCCCTCTCTCTCTCTCAAAAATAAATAAAGCTTAAAAAATTTTTAAATATCACAATATGAAACTCAGCCTAAGGTTGCTTATTCCTTAAAAACTTTTAAAAGGAGCTTTGAAACATTTAACTTCAGTAATACTCTGAGGCCTACCCCAAACAAGGCTGTATCTATTTAAAATAATCTATATATTGTTATTTCTAAGTGATAGTAATTAAATGACAAAATATTTTCTTATTGAGCTATTTCCCTCTTATAATCCTTAATAAATTTTAGCTAATTCTATCAGTCTGCTAATTAGCAGTACATTATTTAGTATTAGATATATGCCTTAAGAATATAAATTAATTATAGGGTCGCAGCCTCTCACTTGCTGGACTTAAACTAGAACTGAGAATCTAAAGTTTCTGAGGGAGAGTCCTAGCTCTGAACAGCACTTATTCTGGCTTTGATCAGAAAATGCTGCCATTACTTTGAAAGCATCTCAAATATAGTTGTTTTTAGATGGTACTTTTCAGTTTTCAATGTAATTTAGCTAATATGAAATGTAAGAAATTTAAAAGTAATTTAAAACTGTAACTGAAAAACATATTCACCCTTATATTATTTATTTGGCTAGTCTGCATTCCTGATGATTTGTTCCCATACAAGGGCTTCTAATTAAACTTTAAATTATATCAAATCTAAGATATAAGTGGCTGCAATTATGGCATAAATTAGACTACGGGTCTCCAAAGCATAAATTACCATTCAGTCTACAAAAAATCCAGCATTTGGAGAGTTAATAGTCATGATCAAAATAGGCTTGTTTCTGTTAGATTATAATCAGGGAAAGAAGTTGAGCAGCTTTAATACCATGAACGAGAAGGGAAAATAGTGAGGTTTCACTGTGAAATTTCTGGGTGAAGGCATCTTTTCGTAAAGTCTCGGTCGGAGGGAAGAGAAGCAGTGGCAAACACAGACTTAATCTTCACTAACGATTGCACTAGTGTCTCTAGTGTCTCACTCCACCTCCTGAATTCTCAGCCTGGGAGTCCACAGATGAGCTTCAGGGCAGGTGAACTCCATCTTTAACCCTCAGCTCATGAGGTCAGCTAGGTTGGGAGGCACCAAGGCAGAATTGGGAGTAGAGAGTGAGAATCTTAGCCATCATCATCAGGGAGGTAGGGATCACTGCTGAGATAGCTAAATATAGTTGCTCAACTATGGACATCTGTTTTGTGAAGAACTGTGAACTTGTTAGAGATTTATGTTTATAGGAAACAAGACCATAACTCACAGAAGTCCCGTTTTGCTGTGTCCTTAGTTCTGGCGCACTAAGGATTGTAACAATTGCTCCACAAAAGTTTCTTCAATTGACAAAGCATGATCAAGACACATTTTTATAACTCAGTGTAATTGAAACAAGCAGATCACTTTTTTTAACATTAAAAATAGCATGCCTTTTTCCAAGGGTAATGAGTTATTCCATATACCCATTCAGCCATTCAGCATACTAGTTAGTACAAATTAGTACCAAATTCTGAATCCTGTAGAAATGCTTGCACTTCCACAGGCTAAATAGCTCATTCGTACTTTTTTTCCTAACATGCTTTATTTTCCCATGGTCTACAAATTCTGCAATTATTCATAAAGCACATGATATTAAGTTAGCTTTTAGTAGAAATTATTTTTTAACCTTTAATTATAACTGATAATTATAAACATATTATTATTTTTAAGTGTTCAGCTCCAAAGGTATGGAGAACATTTAGTGGCAAAATAATTGAGATGGATACACAGTTCACCATCAGAGCCAGAGAGCTGCAGAACATCTATAAATGCATAATGCTGAAAAATATCTCTCAAGATGAAAGACTGGATGTACTCCTAACACTTAAACATACTGTGAAGGTACATTAACTTTCTCGTAGTTTTGAGGTATCACTATCAATATTAGTATCACTATTGGTATTACTATCAATAAAAAAATGAATACTAAAATAAGCTGTTTTGTATTAATGGTAAAGATGACTAATCAGTGTCTATATATATAAATTTGTTTTGTCAACAGCTATATTGTTTTGGTGTCGTTTGGGGAGGATGTGTTTTCTGCATTAATATTTATCTAAAAATTCTCAAACTATATATTACGATACATAGAAGTATGCACAATGGATAATCTAAATGGAAATAAATACCCATTTCTATGTGATGGATGCAAATATATGCAAATATATATATAGCATGAGATTAATACTCAACTCAGTTCACTAAAACAGCAATTTCTATATATTTTGACACTCTTCAATAAAAATTTTATTTTTAGCAACTTTAAAGCAGGATGAGAATATTTTTATTTTTTTCTCATCATTTATTAATTTAAGACATATTAAGCAATTGAGTAAATGGTTCGTGTTGAGCACTAAGTCTGGATAGATCTCTTACATGTCCCTCCATCTTGAGAGCAGAGGCATTGACTCAATGAGGCACTGACTGCTTTTGTTCTGGATTACGTTTTTAAAGATGTTTGTGTAGTGACTAACATTGGAAGATAGAGATAGTTAGGAAGAAAGGGAGAATCAGTAGGTCCAGAGGTAGGAAATAAGCATGATGTATGTAATGGGCGGTAAAAAGGCCAGATTAGAAAAAAGAGAATGCAAGTAGGGAATACAGTAGAAATCCTCCTAACTAAAGAATTTAGGAACATTTTTTGGTTAATAGTAAAAAAGAAAACCAAACAAAAACAGAGAATAGGCTTATAAAAATAAATTGTGCATATCTTAAGCAATATGTTTAACCTATATATGTACATGTATATTTATTTAACAATATTTTATTGGAGGATTAAGGCCTTTAAACATGACTCAAATTCTGGCTCTATTCATTATGGCTGTACAACCTTAGATAAGTTATTTAATATTTCTGAAAATCAGTTTCATCATTTGTAAAATTAGTTGCATTGAGGATATAGATATATATGTGTATATAATCTATGTGCATCTATATGTATTTATAAAGTATAAATAAAATATAATCTGTATTATTTCACTGCTTATGAATAGGGAGCCCTCAAAAAATTATTTAAAAAATTTTTAATGTTTATTTTTGAGAGGGAGAGAGAGACAGAGTGTGAAGCAAGGGAGAGGTAGGGAGAGAGGGAGACAGAATCTGAAGCAGGCTCAGAATCTGAGCTGCAGCACAGAGCCCGACATGGGGCTTGAACTCGCAAACCATGAGATCATGACCTGAGCTGAGGTCAGACACCTAACTGACTGAGCCACCCAGGTGCCCCAATAATGGGTATTATTTTGATGACAGTTACTAAGAGAGACCAGTGAATCTTAAACTTGAGTACACATTAGAAGCATCCGAAGAACTTGAGAGAGTGAGATGCATAGAGACAGAGAAAGAGAGATTGAAAGAGAGAGAATATGAGAATAAATGAATAAGGAATGATACTTAGGCACAATTTCAGAGAAGTTAAATTAGATCCTCAAGTGTTAGGGCAATCTTAAAACCTTCAAAAATCTCTCCCGGGTCATTCTAATATGCTTTCAGGGCCAAGGACCCTGATCTAGACTCTTGTGTTAGCTATACTAAATATGTATTAAAAAGTACAGGAGAATATTATTTAATAGTTACAGATGTCACATTCTGACTCCTTCATTCAAACTGTGTTTTAGTCCTCTCTCAGGCAATTGGAACAACTTACTTCTATTCTACTGCTCATAAATCCTGCCTTTATCACTTAACCCCTACATGGGGCTTTCTTATTCAACCACACTCATTTCTGTGATTTTATTAAAAATTATTATGAATTATACAAATTTGCAGAAGAAATACATGAAATATATGTGTACAATTTAACATATGAAGTCACCAACCACATAACCACTCTCTGACCCAAAACAGGACATTGCCAACATTGCCAAGTATCCCCTGTCTCTTCATAATCCCAGTTCACCCTCTTATCCCCTAGAAGTAACTGCCATATTGACTTTCACAGTAGTCATCTCCTTGATATTCTTTATAGTTTTACCATCTCTCTATATCCTTAAATAATATAGCTTAGTGTTGCTTATTTTGGAATTCATTTAAGTGGAATGATGTTGTATTGTTCTGTGTCTTACTGCTTTCACTCAACATTACTTTTTTAAGATTTAAGCTTGTTATTGTATATAGCTATAGTTTATTCATTTCCATACATATAATAATATTCTATCAATATGTGCATTGTATGAATAAGTCAACACTTATTTATATCATCAATTGATTTATGGATATTTAGTTGTTTCTAATTTTGTGCCACTGTGAACAATGACTTTACATGCACATTTCTCTACTCTTAAGACGAGAATTGCTGGGTTGTAGATTATGCATATCTGAAGCTCTACTAGATAATGTGAAAATTTTTTCAAAATTAGTTGTACCAATTTTTACTCCTGCTAGTTTCTTTTGCAATTTCTTTCTTTTGGAATCTAGTTTCAGTTTGTTTGGTGGTAATTTTGAAAGCTAACAGTGATTTTTAAAATTCTATGTTGAATATGTATTTTGTATAGGAACATGAATGTAAACTGACTCAGGAAATTCTAGAATTGATTGACAGAGAGGTTGACCTTATGATGAGAGGCGTCAAACATCATAATCTTGAAGGGCTCAGAAAGAGAATCGCAACACTCTTTTTTCATTACATCAAAACACCTCTATTTAATCCAGAAGTTGCAAGACACCTTAAGGTACTCTACTTTTTTTCCTGTATTCCTTCCTCAAAATTCTAAAATGTGCTGTAGTAAATTGAAGTATATTCAAATTTTGCTTTAATGCATTACTTGGAGTCCATGTGGAAGACCATCTTATTGGTGACATCTCTTTTGAATGATTGTTTTTTATGTTAACAAATTAATCATTTAACTTTAGTGTCTGTATTTTCAACCTTGAGTTCTTCCCTACTCTCTGAACCAAATTGAATATTGTATTATGTTGAATGCATTATGATCTCTTTCACACCTTCGTGCTTTTGAACACACTTAGTTCTACCTGGAATCCTGTCCCCTACTTACTCTGCTAACTCCTGTTCATTTTCTGACATTTAATTCATGGGTCCCCTCTTGCATCAGGCCTTGGAGAGAGTTCAAGTCTTCATTTCTGAGATTCTACACATACTTTGTTTGTGTTGCCTTCTAATACTTATTGCTTAGTCATAGTTATTACTGAACAGATCCATATAGGTATCCTGATAGAACTTCAAATGTAACATGTATTTGAATGAAACTACCTTTTCCAACTCCAAAATGCTTAAGTTTCTATGAAGATTTTGCTATCTAGGGCCAAGGTAAGTATCTCATTGCCTTCTTACTGTGTCAAATGATTTAAAACACTTTTGGTGCGGTTTGGAAGGGAGCGGTTTACTAAAGAATTCTAAATGGTGTTTTATTCTAATGACTATATTTATAGTTATAAGTAAATATATACAGTATTAAGAAGCTGGCTAAATATCTATTTTGCTTTTTTGATATAAAATCTCAGTATTTAGTCAAAACTTTTAGTAAATAAAATTATTTAATTTTTACATTCTTTCTTTTTTAATGGATTTTTAAAACTTAATTGTATTGCAAGAGTATTAAGATACAACAAAAGTCAGGGATGCCTGGCTGGTTTGGTGGATAGAACATGCGATTCTTGATCTCAGGCTTATACATTGGAGCCTCATGTTGGGTACAGAGATTACTTAAAAATAAAATCTTAAAAGAATATACATAAAAAAAGTCCAAGAGAAAAGTTGCCCATTATGTTATTTCTTATTCAAATTAATGTTCTATTTCCCCAGGGTAACTTCTAGTCCTTCTCTATAGACTTATCTCAGCTTTTATATTTTTACCATAATAGAATTTAATATTCTACACGTTCACCTAACATACCATTTTATTCAGTTTTTAAATTTACCTTTGGTCAGATTTACTATTTGGGGGTCAGTTTTGACAAATACAGTGTCATGTAATCAATACCTAACCCAGAGTGTCGTATAAGTGGAATCCTACTGTATGTAGCTTTTTGACACTGGCCTCCTTCATTCAGCATACTGCCTTTGATATTCACCCATGTTTTTGTATCCTTAGTGTTGTTATACCTGAGTAACACTTTTGTTGTCTGAATGTAGTAGAGCTTGTTTATCCATTCACAGTTGTAGGATATTGAATTGTTTGTTAGAGTTTTGGACTTTTGTGAGTAAAATCGCTAAAAACACTTGCTTGTGAGTTTTTGTGTAAATTGATTGTTTGGGGTTAAATACCTGGGAAGTAGAATTTTTTTTGAGTCATCTGGGAAATGCACATTTACCTTTATAAGAGATGGCCAGCCTTTTTTCCGCACTGGTTGTGCCATGTTTCATCCCCATCTGTAATGTGTGACATTCCCATTGTTCAGCATCCTTGCCAGCAGCTGGTAGTGCCAGTGTTTATTTTAATTCTGGAATTCTAATAAATGTGTAGTAGTATCCCATTATATTTTAATCTGTGATTTCCTAATGAATATAATATTAAGCATCTTTTCATGCACTTTTTTTTTGCCATCCATCTATAACTTTTTGGTGAAGTATCTGCACGTATCTTTTGCCGCCACGCCTTTTTCAAAATTGAGTCATTTGTTTTATCATTATTGAATTTTGAGAATTCTTTGTTTATTTTACATATAAATCCTTTGTAAGATACATGATTTGCAAATATTGGCCCTCTGTCTGTGGCTTGTCTTTTCATTCTCTTAACAGTATCCTTAGCAGAAAAAAGACGTTTTTATTTTTATAAAGTTGAATTTATGCATTTTAAAAATGGATCATGCCGTTAGCATTTATTTTGTAGTTATGAAATCTTTCTAGAAGAATTAATATTGTTAAAATATCCATACTACCCCCTCCCACACACAAAATGTACATACTACACGAAGTGATCTACAGATTCAATGCAATCCCTATCAAGATTCCAATAGTATTTTTCATAGAACGAGAAAAAAATCCTAAAATTTGTATGGAACCGCGAAAGATCCTGTATAGCTAAAGCAATTTTGAGAAAGAAGAACAAAGCTGGAAGCATCATGCTTTCTGATTTCAAACTATATTCCAAAGCTATAGTTCAGACAGCATGGTACTGACATAAAAACAGACACAGAGATCAATGCCACAAAATAGAAAGCCCAGAAATACACCCACAAAGGAACTAAGGACACACAATGGAGAAAAGACAGACTCTTTATTAAATGGTGTTGAAAAACCTGGATAGCCACCTGCAAAAAAAAAAAAAAATCAACCTTTATCTCACACACATACAAAAATCAACCCAAAATAAAGATTTAAATATAAGACCTGAAACTGTAAAGTTATTAGAAGGAAGTATAGACAAAATGTTGTTGACATTGGTCTTAGCAACAGTTTTTTTAGTCATGGCATTGAAAGCAAAAATAGACAACTGGGATTGCATCAAACTGAAAAGCTTTTGCATAGAAAGGAAACAATCAACAAAATGAAAGGCAATGTACAGAATGGGAGAAGATATTTGCAAACCATATATCTGATGAGTTAATATCCAGAAAAAGGAACGTATACAACTCAACAGCAAATTCATATTAACCCAATTTAAAAATGGGCAAAGACTTGAGTAGACATTTTCTCAAACAAGACATACAAATGGCAACACATACATGAAAAAGTACCCCACATCACTAATTATCAGTGAAGTACAAAGCAAAACCACAGTAAGATATTCAGCTCACAATTTTGGAATGGCTGTTATCAAGAAGACAAAAGATAGCAAGTGTTGGCAAGGATATGGAGAAAGGGAATCTTTGTGCACTGTCCTTTGAAATTAAATTGGTACATCCATTACAGAAGGCAGTGTGGAAGTTCCTCAAAAACTTAAAAATAGAACTATTATATGATGTACAGTTTCAAGTTTTGAATATTGATCATTGAGCCAATCCAAATTTAGTGTTAGGATGAATGAAATAAGAAATACACTTAGTTTAGTGGACTTTCATCTATACATGAATCTAGCCATTGCCTGTAAGATTAATGTAGCATAGCACCAAAAATCTAAATTCTTTTTAAAAATTAAGTGCCAAAGCACGTTGAAGTTTTCTTATGATTTTGCAATCTAAAGCCTTCACCTACTAATTTTTTTCTGCCAGTTAATTTTTAGGTGTTTTTACCACATGTATCCAAGGGTTGATGAATAATACAGATTTCTTAACATTTTGGCAGGATAAATGAATACTGCTTGAAATTTAAGTTTTGTGTATAATATTAAGTTAAGGGAAAATGTGACTTTAAAAATTAGCCAACTTTTTATCTCATTCTAAGATAAGTTAGTCCTCAGTATTTCTGTTGGTTAGTATTTGGCCTGACTTTTATAACTAACTAACTTTTCTTCCTTCCTTCCTTCCTTCCTTCCTTCCTTCCTTCCTTCCTTCCTT